TTTCCATTTCAGGAACATTAAAGCACTGCGAAATTAACAATATATCTAGATAAACCATTGTATCATCTGAAACCTTAGCTGAGCTAAGCTATGAGATTGCATTCTATTTTTAAAAATTTGTGTACAAAAATTGAAAATTTTCAAAATAAATATTTAAAAGTTTAACAAATTAACCTTCAGCAAAATATCGAATTCTTCTAGATTCGTAGATATTTTATCCCCAATCTTCTTAGACATGGCAACCTAGCATGTTTCTTTGACTTTTCTGTATTATGTGCCTACTTGTTCATCTTTTGGTGATGTGGCATGTTTGCCTTCAGTAATGATTTGAATAATTAGAACAGGGGCTCTTCCAGGAAGTGGATTCTATGGCTGGGGGATCAATTTCTTATCAACATTTAGAAAAATAAATTTTCACAGAAGAAACATACATTAAACCAATTGTAATCTAATCATGGGGGTCAGTCTCTGGAGTGTCTTCACTTTTGTGGTGCAACGACTTCCAACTCAGTACAGATGCATCCAAATCCATAGGGCTTACATCCTGGTTTCTCTTAGTCTCCAACACCTGACACAATCTTGTCTCCCAAACCAGATTCAAGCATGACTTTTATTCAATCCAAGTCATGATTCTTTTAGTCATGTCTTTGCCCACCACCCCAAGTCCCTGGCTGTCTTTAAGAACTTATTCCTGAAGTTACCACTGGTTCCACACCCTTTCCACCCTGCAGTTCTCATTCTGCTGATAATCCAACTTCGCCTCTTCAAAGATGCTTTCTCTTACCTCCAGATTAGCTCAGATCCCCTTGCCATACATGATTAGGCTCCTAGAATTTTTCCTTTTCTTTCTCACTGTTTGTAATTAAATCTGTGTGGTTATTCGGAATGCTTGCCTCCTGTATTTCATAAGAGACTGTTTCTGCATTGCTCATCATTTTATTGTCAGAGCCCTGGCAGTTAATAGATACACAGTAAGTATTTGTTCAATGAATGAATTCATGTCCAAGCTCCAATCCCATTCTCTCCAAAATGACATTCCTACTGTCTCCAGCAACAGTGGAGATCCCTCTCCTGAACTTAATGCTCCTGTTGTTAATGACACTCATTTACCCCATGGAATCATAGATTCATAGAATTCAGTAGGTGTTTAGAGGTAGCATGCTTTACATTGTAAATCATGTAACTCACTGAAATAAAATTCTTGGTTTTATTTTTGTGAATATTATTACTAATGATCCGGGAATTGGCTTCTGAAGTATTCTGAACCATCCTTGGACTATTCATATATTTAGAAATATTGCAGGTATTTAGCAATAAATTCTTGTGACTTTTAAGACTAATTTGGTTCCTAAGCGTAACAGAACAAGCTCATTCACTCTTCTAATGATGGTTCTTCAGATAGTTAAAGGACTGCTCTCTTGCTCAGTCAAAACATAGCCCCTCCCTCAATTATTGCTTTTATCCTGTGGTTTCCAGACTCTTTCATCATCCTCTTTTACTCTCCTGTGAACTCATTCTAGTTTGTCAATGCTCTTCTTAAAATAAAATTACTTTTGTTACCAGTGATTTTATTGTTTTGAAGCGTGCTATTCAAATGTCCTAAGACAGCATTATTAAGACTTAAAATTTCTATAAATTCTAAGAATAAATAAAATATTTCTAAGAATAAATTTGTGACAATTCTTCAAGTCTTTAAGTTCAGAAATTTGAAAAGTTAATTTTGATTAAGTAATAGAAAACTTTTTCTGGCAGCTGTCAATGGTTGCTGGAGGATTGCTTAGATCAAATAACCAATTCTATACTTACAGCTTAAAATATCTGACTTGCTCTGACCACTTGCTAGTTAAACTTCAAAAGGATTTAAACAAATAAGTAACAAAATGCTATGCTTGTTTTGGAGTGAGGAAAAGGTTTAGTCTTATAGCTATTACCTGCTAAGGAACCAAACCCAATGTTTAATAATAATAATCAGCTCTTTCCTGGGCCCAACAAAAATGTTTTGATGTGGTTCATACCAGCCTCTAGTGAGGGTATCAGTCTTCGTTTAAAAAACAATCATTAGTTTGAGCTGGCATTGCAATCCTTTCTAAATTGCTGATAATATCCATTACCAAGCACAAATTGTCCTTTTCAGTTCTTTACATATAATTTATCCTACATTTCAGGATTATAATAAATTGTAAAGCTGCTGACAATAGTTGAGCCTCAAAACAAGGCAAGAAATGCTCCAGAAGAAAAAGTAGCAAATAAAATAATACAGAAATAAATTAGAAGAGGTGAGAGGCTTCAGCCCCTCCCTACTTTTGAAATGGTTTTACTATCTGGCTCATTAATGTCTGCTAAATGAATGAAAGCATTTGAGCAATAGGAATAATTCTACAACATATTATAAGCAAGATAGCTTAACCAGAATATCTGGCAATTTATTTTCAATTTCAATGTTTACTACATTTGTAATTTCAATATTTTTGAGAACACAGTATGAGTTCAGAATAGCACTACAGATATTTAAAATACTCAAAAATTTTACTAACATGGTGTAATTCAATCTCATAATCTAAATTTGTATATTACAAATTACCTATCTTTTTCTTTCTTTCTTTCTTTCTTTCTCTTATAAGGAAAATTTCACTTGGGCTATTTAGGTAATAGAATGTTAAAGTGTCCATAAATGAAGTGATTGCCCTGGATAGAGGCAGCTATAACAACATGTTCAAGCAATGAAATGAACAAAAGAACCTTTGGAATGCACCTGGTTGTTCAAAAACAGCAGGTGGTTTTTTTTTTTTTTAAGACTCTAAGGAACTCAAATTTCTCTTTAAGGATTTTGTTGCTACCTTTCTTACAAAAATTGCCCATATTATTTCTTGACCTCTACTTTGACAGTAGAGGAAGTCTTGTATGGTGTTAGCTCAGTAGCTCTGACATTTCCATACACTTTCTTATCTGAACAGTATATCTCAAATATTGTAATTCCTGCATTGCTTGCACATTTGGACCTATTCCATCCCTGGATTACAATATATATTCTTTGTTTTTTGTATTGAGGTATAGTTGAACAACATGGTGATTCAATAGTTTTATAGATTATACACCATTTTAAGTTACTACAAAATAATGACTTATAACACATATCCTTTACATAAACTTTCAAGAGAAAAGGCATTCAAGGTACGTATTTATATTTTATACACTTTATGCTTATATAAAAATATAGATACATCCTGTAAACAATAATTGAACTTTGAAAAATATTACTATACTTGTAATTTCCATACTTTCAAAAACATATGCTAATGTGAAATTATTTCTGCTTTACTTATTATGATAAGGACAAGCATCGTATCAATTAAGGTGATCACTGTAACTTCCAAATGTGTTTTAGGTTAATACAAAAATTCTAAACCAAAGTAAAGCTCTTTTTATTTGAGATTAATCTATAATAAATTTCAAAATGCCCAGTGATTTTATTATTTCACAAGCAATTATTCAGAATTCACTATGCACTGTGCATTGTTTTAGGCACTGAAGTACAAAAATGAATATAAAATAAAATTCTTGCCCTTAGGGAGCTCACATTTTAGTGAGAGGTGTCAGTTCTTTTCTCCTTTGCAGGTATTTAATATGTAGTTTTCATATACAGTTAGAGAAATAGTATGCTACAGAACCTAAAGAAAAAAGAAGCAATAGTTGAAGACTTCAGAAATGGGCTTGTCTTGTACGTTTTAGGAATTAGTTGTTGCTTTAAATTAGCATTTCAGAAGTATCTATTTAAGTCCATATTGTTGACACTACAGTGAAAGCAGTGAACCTTGTCAGCAGATGATTACGTTTTATGGTTGATGTCTACACTACTGTATCTTGTGACCAATATCAAGTTTCTGGGAAAAACATCCTCCCTCCCACTTCCCTCTACATTAAATCAGGGTGTCAGCCTGTTGGTGTTAGATGTGTTCTCGGAATAAAGGTGTATTACAATCTTTTTTTTTTCTTCCATTTTTCATTCATCAAGCTGAGAAGAGTTACTTCAGTTTTTCAGGCTTTATTTTTTTTCCCTCCCGGGACAAGAAGCGCTTACATTGTTGCTTTATTACATATTCTACAAGGGAAAGTCTCCCCTTCACTGGCTACTTTTTCAATTCCCAAGACCACCAGTTAGTGGCATTATTTCTGGGTGAGTGGAACACCCTTAACCAGGAGCTGGAGGTGGTAAGCACGTCCCTAGATTACTGGTTTCCCACTGACCAGTCTTTTGGAAAGCGACACCGTTCCCACGGAAATTAACAACCATTCAACTCGGACAGGCTTGAAATCTTAAGGCCGAAATGGAGGGAAAAAAAGGGGGGGATTGTTATGGTTGGGTTACTATTTGAGGAGGGCAGACAGGGAGTTAGTGAATGGCATAGGGTGTCAAAGTGGGACTTTATTAAACGACTCATTAAAACTGCATGAAAGATAAACCTCTGCTGACCCCAGATAATTAAAAAAGAAAAAAAGATTCAAAACCCATTTTCAAACAAAATTTAGGAAACGCTGGAGACGTATAAGTTCATTCTGGGCGCTTGCAAGACCACTTCCCCTGGCCAGAAACTGAGCACAGGTGTGAGAATTTTGCAAAAACAGGCTTCAAAACTATTTTCAACCCGCAAAGGTGTGCCCGAAGAGCTCCAGAGTGGAAAGCAACTCACGCAGCCGAGCGTTCTCCCTGGGCTGCTAACCTTTCCGCCTTTCCCATCCCGCCACTCCCCCTCGGCCCGGCCTCCAGCCAGGGGGCGTTTGTTTACGTGACGTCAGCCGTAGTAAGCAGTCCCCGCCCCCGTTTCCCTCTGGCCGCCGCGTTTCCCGCGCCGCGGCGCTTCTCCCCTTAAAAGGACAATAGAAGCCTCGGGAGCGCGCGCGGCCGCCGGGCCTTCTCCCCTCCCAGCCCTCGACGCGCGCGCGCCCGTATGCAAATACGTTCGATTCAGGAGAATTTTGTACTGGGAGCCGCGCGTGCGCAGAGGGAAAGCGGAATCTACACCTTCCCCGCCTGCGGTAGCAACTGCAGAACTATAGGAGACAATCTTTCTAGACAAGGCAGTTGAGGCGGAGGGAGCGACTGGAGAGGGGGGGTTGGCCTGGCGTGCACTCTGCACCTCGGGGACGTTACTGCGCGTGGAACGGCTGCTTTTGGAAGGTGAGTGACCCTGGCCCTTACTGTGGTGCAAAACTGTCTCACGAGGCTTTGATTTCAGAGCGGCTTTTTTTCTCTTTTCACCTCCCCCAGCCGTTCCACAGACACACTCACACGTTTATACACACACACAGGAAGTTTTGTCTCGGAGATGGCATTGCTGGGAGCGCTGTTTTCGTGGTCTTCAGACCCCAGATTCTTTTGTATCCGGTTGTTGAGTGTGTCCTTCTTAATTGGGGAGGGGATTTCAGGCAAACCGAAAGTCTTGGGGAGGGGGAAGTGAGAGCAGTGAGGAGTCGCCGGAGTTGAGGGACCCACGCTGAAGGTGACAATGACTTTTCTCAGCCGCAGTGTTCTCTGGCGAAAAGGAGCCCGGTGGCCGAAAGGCCCGAGAGAAAACGACTCGCTGGCGACTGCGGAGGGGCCCCGGGTCGGTGCACCCGCGTGGGCGCGCGCCCGGGAAGGGCCGGGCGCCGTTGTTGGACCTCGTGGTTTAGTTTCTTGCGGCCCGTCGCGCGTGTTGTGATGAGGGTGGACAATGAACGCCCCTCGCTCGAAAACTAAGTTGCCGTCTCCTTGCGAGCCGGCGGACCGAGGGGGTTTAAATCGGCTTTTGGGGTCGGTGCCGGCGTGGCCGGGGTGCACGCGGGTGGCGTTGTCCGCCCAACTCCGGAGGGATGCGGATGCGACAATGAGCAACACGCGGCCGCTCGGCAGCCGCCCCGGCTCGCAGACGCCTCTCCCCGGGCCGCGCCCAGGCAGCGCGGGCGTCCGGGGCGGCGGGCGGGGGGGTCCTGTGGAGCCTCAAGTTTGGTTCGCAATTTGTTCACCTGTAGCGGAGATGTGGGCGCCGCGGCGCTCTCGAGGGCGGCCGTGTGCGGCTTAAGATGGCCAGTCGGAGCCAAGTTGACTTGGGGATGGAGGCGGCGGCGTTGTCTGCGCCTGAGTGCGCGAACTCGGGAGGGCACTGCTTTTTGTGCCGAGAGTGACAGACCACGTGCTGGGGCCGCGACCCGGGTTGGGTCGGAGGTCCGGCTGAGCGTCTGGATCGCGGTCAGCCGGGAGATGCGGGCTGTCGGGGCCGGCCGGCAGGACAATGTGACTTGATGATGGCGTCTTGCCAGTTTAAAAAGCAGAGTGAAAGTCGCCAACTCTCGGCCGGTGCGGGGCGGGGAATCCGGGCGTTTCTCATCAAGGACATTGCAAAACTTTGATTAAACGGGCCTGCTGCTAGGGGAGGACTGCAGGGCCGGCTCTGGACTCTCGGGGCGCGGGTC